GAAGTAAAGATTCAATTGAAATCATTTTCTGATCGAAAGAAAAGAAAGCACATTTTCTATCTTACTTGCAATACATTAAGGCATTTATTATTATTATTGCTCTTTTACGTATTTCGTATATTAAGAATAAGTAAAAATAAGTAACCATAAACTTCAACAATATTCGTAGAAGCAAAGGTAAAAAAAGAAGTTAACAAATGTCTAGAAGCCATACATAAGCTATGTATGTAAATTGCTAGACAAATCAACAAATATTTCAAATGTTTCAAATGTTCATCTACAGGAACATTGTTGTATAATATCGTACCTTGAGCGAGAAGGGTCTCTGTGGTTTTTCTTGAGAGGGTTGTTGGGTTACAGGGGTCGTCTCGGAAACACTTGTCGGGGTCTCCCCCGAAGATCCGGAGGTTACAGAAGTGGGGGGACCAATTTCAGCCGGACTGTCCCCCCCAGACGTTGATGAAGAGGGAGATTTAACCTTACCCTGCAACCAGCCCAAGCACCGTGCCTTGTTAAGTACTTGGAGTCCGCATATACCGAGTCCAATATGTCATCAACCACCACACCATGGTCGGACTTCTTCACGGCCAAGTATACGTTACATTCAAGCACTAAATGCCAAAGCCAATTCAAATACTTGCAAATACTTCATTGCCAATATGACTTTCTTCACTATTTATACGACTTAGTAATTCTTTAAAAAAAAAAAAAAATATAATAGAACTTTCGCAATAACTAATATCTTTTTCAACTAAAATAAATACTTCTCTTCTATCCGATTATTTGAAAAATTTGGAAAGGGAATATATCATTTTTCATCATCATTTTTCGAGTTCATACTTTTACTACCCAAGAACTACCAATCGTTACAATTTTATTTCTTCTAAAATTCTTTCACTTTTAAACTAAACTTGTTATTACCGATAGATCAAAGAATAAATCAATTCGATTTACTCGGTTACTAATTGCTAATATAAAGCATGCATACCGTCACCAGATTAATTTAAACAGTTATTTATAATATTCACAGTTATTGTTTAGAGATCTTTCTTTATTAACACAGAGTAAAGCGGAAAACGAGAATGGCATCCAAGGAATCGATAGTCTATAATATTATACAAAGTGTGTAGTCTACGTTCAATTCTGTATTTCTGTAACGATAAAAATTGATCATGTCAGCATGCACTTACCACCAAGTACAGCTGAAAGATGAGAAAGAAAAACAATTACAAATTATAATAATATAACTGGCAATAAAGATTATCTGCATTAACCGTAATAGGCATCAAGATTATATCACATTTGCAAACTACACACAAAGATTCATTATTTTAGAAGCTAATGATATATATATATAGAAATATATATGTATATATATATATATAATTACGTTATGAAAGAAAAAGATGAACAAATATCGAAAAAATATGCGGCATTTACCTGAAATAAAAACATTATTTTTGCAAGCTCACTTGCACGCTACTTTAAAATAATCGAATATAGTAAATACAGCCAGATATGAAAAAAAATATAGGCAATAATAAATAAACAATAAAATATCGAATTGCTCGTGAATGTAAAAAAAAAAAACTTCTTTGCAGAAGAAAAAGAAACTGTTGTTCAATTTTCTGACACAATTATTAAATATTAATTATGCATTGCTCTATACTAAACACCCGTGGCTAAATACCTCATGGCTATATTCAATGTTCTGTTTCCTTCCTTTGAAAGATTTATTCTTTAAAACCTTTTATTCATCCTATTATCACTCCGCCGACAATAGTGAAACAAATCATTAAAGAGGCCATGAAAATGATCTGGCTGAATCTGGATCGTGAGATGGTTCAAAAATGGAAAATATGACGCGATGTGATCGCGATCGTTTATTTTGGAGCAGTAATCACGAATTTTACCTTCGTGACAGCTTGCAGGAACGCAGCCTTGCCAACTTTTTGACGCTGTTTCGACATCACAACCTCCATCCTCCTCTTTTCGTTCTCTATGTGCCGACGTTTCTCCTCTAGCTTCAATCTAATGTTATTCAGTTGCGAGGCCATAATGGTGTTACCACCGTTTTCATCTGCCGGCATGATCATACATCATTTGTACATCGTTTCATCGATATATATATATAGAAACGATCACAACGTAAACAACATACCAACAGAATGTTGTTCCACCTGTTGGGATTGCTGACTGCTCTGCTGCTGCCACGTGGTCGTATTCGGCAAAGTGGCGAACGTAGTCTTCTTCTCACCGTTCCCATTCCCATTCGCCTGGCCAAACTTCTTGCCGGCCAGACTCGACTTGCCCTCATCCCGTTCCTGCTCCGTGTACGTCAAGTTGATCCCTTTCTCCGAGCTCTGCCTGCTCAGATTCGCGAAGCTGGCTAATTTGGACGTGTCGCCCTCCGAATTAACTGTCTCGCTGGAATGTAAAATTTGCTTGAGCGCCACGTTGTCCAGGCTCGAGTTGGAGGTTTGCCTTCTCAATCTTGGCGGCTCTTCCTTGTCGTAACCGTTGTCCGACAGAATGTGCTGCACCCCGCTACCGTACACGTCCTGAACGCTCGATCTCGCCGGCAACGTCGGCTCCGTCGTACTCCTTTTGCCGATTGCGTGCGCCCCAACCTCCTTGTCCGGATTTCTACCGAAGTTGTGTAAATTATCCTACGAACAAACACCGATATCATCCTTCCTTTTCGTCTCTCCCTTTCGCCTCCCTCGGTTTCCCACTCTCACCTGAGATCCACCAAAATTCTCTATGGTCAACTGAGAGTCGTCCGAGACGCTGTTGCGCCTGGATCGCCGGCCGGCGTACGAGCTTCTCCTCTGCTCTTCCCAGTTGCTCGGCCGACCAGCGGCGTCCGCTCTTGCTACGGATTTCTCGTCCGCCACGGAGCTTAACGTAGGAATGCCTTTGCCGCGATGGACCACGAAACTCTCTTCGCTCCCCGCTCGCCTGTGGGAAACGGTCGTGAGTCAGACGTGTGGGTGAATAATGAGAGTACGAAGAATGAGAAGCGTAATGGGAGTAAGATTAACTCGTGTGAAATATATTGTTGCTTGATTGTACGGGATTGACTCATATCCTGCTACAATAGCGAGGTAAAAAAAAAAGTCTTGGTTTTCATTAAGCCTTGTATTTACATTGATTTTTTTTCGATCGTTGTGGAATCGTTACAAACGATCCTCGATGAGAGAAAAAAAAGAATTGTCAAGGAGAATGAATCGGTTTATTCAATTCTATTCTCCTCGTTCCAAATGCGAAATTATTATTATTATTATTGTTATATAATATATTGATATAAACTAAACGATTATCTTATTCTGATTATATTATCTTTCAGTTAAATTTAAACATGATTTGAGTGAATGAGCGCATTAGAAAGTGTTGTTGGAGATTCTTGTTTCTTTTCAACGTCTTATTTCTTTACCGTCGATTAATTATCAAGGATTATCGTGTAGTTCTTCGAAAGGAAATATATATAGAAGAAAGAGAAACACGAGAAAAACACATACCTGTCGTCGTGAGAATAATTTTCGGCAGTTTGTTGTAATGATTGAGACTTCTTGACGGAGGAGGAAGATGACGACGATGCTTTTGCAACTAGAAAATAATTCAATGCTGTAGCGATCGTTTACCTACGTATCTAGAAAAATAGTATCAATATCTATATAATCAATAATCACTGTTGACGCGAATAATAGAATAATAAATAAATTCACAAGGATCGGTTTAATAATCGGTGTGAAAACATTAATTCAAAAAAGTTGCATTACGTCACACCGAGTAAAATTCATGTGAGAAATTTCTAAATTTCCGCTATGATGAACGAGGACCGTTTCCGGTCCTAAAGTTACAAAAATTCTATTTCTATACATCGAGAACATTATCGAAACAAGTTAATCATTAAACGCGATCATTAATAATTATCGTAGAAATTTCAAGGCACACGAATTTCGTGAAAAGAAGAGAGAGAAGAAAAAAAAAAAAAAGAGAAAAAACCAATATATATATATATATATATTATCTATGGAATAAAAGCTAAATGTTATCATACACTGGAAAAATATACACTCGTCAAATGGGTAAAACTCGTTAATTGGATCTATAACAAAACTAATCTCTAACCGTTTTTCTAACTCGTCGTGGTGATGTGTCACGGCAAGAATAAAACAAAAGGGAAGGCAGAAGAAAAAAAAAAAAAACCAATTCGACAATCCATTCGTAAACGAATAAAGAAAATAAAAGAGGATAAAGAAGAGAGATAAGAGGAAAGAACGGGGGGTGGGGAGGGGGAAGAAAAAAAAGGTCTTCCGAACCGAAAGAAACAGACACATAAATAACAGACGCAATAAACGTAGACAATGTACGTTTGCAAAACAAATATACTAACTCAATATGGAGTATGGATATATTAATGAATCGTCGAGAATCTTTCTTCCTGAATCGATCGATACGTCACAATATGAGAAAGAGGAGGCGACATGCAGAACGAAAGGTACGGAAAGCTAACGGTATCAATGCAAAGCGGCAACGGAAAATGAAAAAATAAGTATGTCTTTTATCTTTTATTATCGCGAAAATGCGCAAACACACATCTTGCATGCATTTGAACAAGGTTAAAGGATCGTTATGTCATACGGCATTATATGTTATACGCAAAGTAACATGGTTAGTAAAGAAGCAGTGCGCCTAATAGTATTTTGAGCTTTGTTACACAGCTAAATCTAAACATCTGGCCACGTTTTAAATGCAGAACGCATTTTATTTTTGTTATTATTAATATTATTATTATTATTTTTTTTTTAATATTTTTCTATTTTTCTATTTCGTTTTTTTTTTTTTTTAATTTTATCTCCCCGATATTATTCTTTTGCGGATGATAAAAGAATGGATACTTTTTTCCTTTTTTCGTTCGATTGTTCCTGAATCGAAACGTTACGTTTGTTTCGCGTAGAATAATATCCTGCTCTTTTTTTACGTATAGAATATAAATTCAAAAAAAAAAAAAAAAAAAAATAGCAAATATCGCGATGGTGGAATAAAAATACGTAGAACAAAAATCGATACGCGAGATTTTCGAAAAAAGATTATACGCAAAAAAAAAAAAAAAAAAAAAAAAACCGAGGATATCGTTTAGTTGCTTTCCAAATCAATTTGGGAAAATCAATCAAACGAAATGCGGGGAAATGCGTCGCATTTAAAATGTAGTAAAATTTAAAGATCAAAGAACAGAAAAACAGGAATCAAATCGAGATGATTAAAAAAAAAAAAAAGAGAGAGAGAGAGAGAGAGAGAAGAGAAGAAAGAAACGAAAA